TATGAAAGGCCAGGGGGGTGAGAAACGGGGATCTGCTGTTTAATGGCACAGGCTCTCGGTTTTGCAAGATGAGAAAGTTCTAGAGATCGGCTGCACAATGTGAGTGCCCTGACAGGACTGAACTGCGCGCTCCGAACGCTCGCGGGGCTGGGGATGCTAAGCACTGGCCTAGCACTCACGGGCCTGGGCCTGACGGTCAGAGCTGCAAAAGGCGGTGAAATGTTACATGCTTTTAACATAGTTAAAAAGAAGAAATGAGTTAGTATTGAAGAAGCACACTTGGAAATTACCCCACCAACCCCTGGCCACCATGTCATTGCCCCCACCACGGGGCTGCCTAGGGGCACCGACAGCTCGCGGCCCGCCAGACTCCCCGCTGTCCGAAGGGCATGGGGCGGCAGTGCTAGAATCACGCTGGTGGGGTCATAATCTTCCAGAACTGAACACCAACGCAAGATGGCTCACGGCAGAATGAACCAAAGTGATTCTGAAACGGGTCCCCACGAGGGGAGGGCCGGAACCCAACACAGACAGCAGCAGTTTAGTGTGACATTCAGTTCCGAAGTGGAGCATATAGAATCAGACACTGTTTACATTTAGAAATGACTCAAGTATTTAACACACCGGTAAAAAATCAGAGGCCCACGTGGGGAAGAGTATAAAACTTTGAAAAGCATAAAAATACTTCAGTAAATGAACCGGAGATACCCTGCTCACGAATTAGATTTAGTATCATAAAGATAAAAATTTAAATTTATCTGTGTTGTTAATGTCGTTACACCCAAAATACCAACAGCTGATTCTGAAATGTTTATGGATAAGTAAAAGAGCAAGAATAGTCAAGATGTCTTAGAATAGGAGACTTCCTCTATTGCACGCAAAAGTTATTATAAGTCTAGAGCTATTAAGAGAGTCTGGGCTGGGCGTGGTGATGCATGGCTGTAATCCCGGCACTTTAGGAGGCTGAGGCAGGAGGATCACTGCAAGATTGGGCCAGCCTGGGCTGCATAGTTCAAGGGCAGCCTGAACTACAAAGTGAGACCCTGTCTAAAAAAAAAAAAAAGAGCGAGGGGGGCGTGTGGTGCAGCCATACTCAATTAACCAGTGAAACAGGACCCAGAAAGGCAACCATGACTTCAAGGAGCTTCGGTATGGGAGGGGAACTTGGCAGATCAGTGGAAACAGAGTCTTTATTCAACAAATAGACCTGGGCTGGGGTGGTTCTATACACACTTGCAAGGAGGCAACAGGCCTCCTCTCTCCACCCCCAAGCATAAGCTCCAGGGTAAGCAAAGGGTTACGTGTCCAGAGTATTACAGGAAAGTAAAAGCAGCAGGCGTGGTGCCACACACCTGTAATCCCAGCACTCAAGAGGCTGAAGCAAGAGGATTGCCATGAGTTCATGGCCAGTCTGGGCTACATAGTGAGACCCTGTTTCAAAGTAAAAACAAAACAAACAACAACAACAAAAAATATCTATATACATATATATTCTTAAGATAAAAAGGATTTCTTAAGCAAAGTGCAAATAAAGGGTTGATAATGGTGACTTTATTGAAATGAGTAATATGTTTATCAAAGACAAAGTGAAAAATGAAGTTATGAATTAGGAGAAGATCTTTGCAATAAATAGGCATTCAGGATTAGTACTGAGTAGGTGAAGAGGGCCTGGGATGTAGCTCAGTGGCACCGCGCCTGCCTTGAAAGTGCAAGGTCCTGAGTTCGATCCCCGGTACCGGAAAAAAGAAAAAAAGAAATAAGAAGAATCCCAGCAAGTCAATAAACAGCAATAAAGAGGGCAAATCACCAGGGGGAAAGGCAGGAGGAGCAGGTATTTCAGAGGAGAGGAGATTATTACTATGGCTGTTAGCTTTTGGGTCTTAAGTGGTCCAAAGGTGCAGGTGTTAGAGGCTTAGTCTGCTGCTTGGTGCTGTTGGGACAGTGGGCCAAGTAGGGGTCTTTCAGGTATTGGGGCACATCCTCAAGTGGATGGCAGAACCCTGGTCTCCCCCACCACCACCATTTTCAAGTTCCAGCCAGGAGATGAGTGGTTTTCCCTGCCACATCTCCCACCAGAGACTTCAAAGCAATGAGTCCACCTCCAAAACTGTGAGTCAAAATAAACCGTTTCTCTTTACAAGTTGATTCACTCAGGTACTTGTTCTAGTGACAGAAAACTAACGGTGAATAAACATATGGAGCAAGATTCAACCTCATTAACAATCTGGGAAATTGTGAATCAAGACCAGGATGTGATGTTTTAGCTGCATTCAAAGGACAAAAAAGTTCTGACTGACAATGCTAAGTGTTGGGGCGGATACCAGTCAATGATTCTGTTACACAATCAGAAGGGAGAATGGAGGGGAGGCGCCATTTTGGAAGATAATCCAATAAAGCCCAACATGTATACATCCTGCAACCTGACACTCTACTTGTAGACTTACACCCAAGGAAACTTCTTGTGTGTGTGTCTGTGTTTTATTAGTGCACATTTGCCATATATAATGATCACCTTCATCATAGGGAATGTGCACCTGTACATAGTAGATCTTAATTCTTTTTTCCCATTCCTGTCCCTTCCCTTCAACCTTTCTTCCCCTCCCCATTTACAAAAGCTTTGCTTCCATTTTTCCCTTCCACTCTCTTTCTTTATCCCTTTCCCCTTCCTTTCCTCCTCCCTCCCTTCCCATTTGAACATGCTCTTCCTACTTCGCAGTATCTATCCTCCATTTTGCTCCTTACACAAGGAAACTTCTGCACTTGTACAACAAAAGACTTGTACAAAGCCACTGAAGCACCCCGAAAACACCATGACAGGAGAATAATGGGTATAGGCTGTGCCATCGTCACACAATGGAACAGCGTACCCCAGTGTCAGGAAATAATATTTTCCAGCTATTTACTGTGGCATAACAAATTGCCTCAAAATTTAACTGGATTAGATTGGGGCTGAGGTGCAGCTCAGTGATAGACCATGTGCCTAACATCTGGGTTTGAGCCTCAGATTAAAAAAAAGAGAGAGAGGAGGAGGAGGAGAAGAAAGAAAAACTTGTGGAACAGCCCTGTGTTGTCTGGTGATTTTGTGCCAGGTTCCTGGTGGGGCTCAGCTGGCCATTCTGCTGCACGGGACCGGCTCAGTTCTCTCAGTTGCTGACCTGAGGTCCCGAGCAACTTCTTCATAGGTCTGACTCCATAGCACAGACAGAGGGAAGATGGGGCTCAGCTGGCAATGTCCCCAACACCCTGCATGTGACCTCTGCCCTCTGGTCTGAGTCTTATAGGGCAACACAGGCTCCCAGAGTGTCCAAGAGATAGGAAATGAGGATGGGCAGGTTGGTAAGTCCTGCACCCAGAAATTGGCACCACACATTGCACTGAATTTTATCACCCAGAGCAGGCACAGAGCCTGCCCAAATTCAAGGGCAGGGGACACAGGCTTCCTTTCTCAAGGGGACAAGTGTGAAAGAATTAGTAACCACCTTTAACCTACTCCAAATATAGATAAATCTCTAATTTGGGGCTTGAAAATAAATACTAGCCAGGTGTAGTGGTGCACGCCTGTAATCCTAGCACTCAGGAGGCTGAGGCAGGAGGATCACTGTGAGTTCGAGGCCAGCCTGGACTGTGTAGCGAGTTCAAGGCCAGTCTGAACTACATAGCAAAACACTGTCTCAACAAACAACAAAAAAAACCCAAAAACAAAAAACCCAAAATAATAATAATAAATAAATACTAAGAGATTGCTTATATGGGATGTTTTCATTTAAAAAACAAAAACAAACAGCATGAGAACCAGATGCATTGACGCAAGCTTGTAGTCCCAGCTCCCAAGAGGCTCGCTTGAGCCCAGGAGTTAGGGACCAGGCTGGGCAACAAAGTGAGACCTTGTTTCTTTCCTTTTCTGTTCTTAAAGTCAGCTGGGGTGGTGGGTGCACACCTATAACCCCAGCATTCTGGAGGCTGAGGCAGGAGGATCGCAAGTCTGAGTCCTGCCTTGGCAACTTGTCTCAAAATAAAACAATAAAAAAGGCAGGAGATGTAGCTCCGTGGTAGAGCACCCTGGGTTCCATCCCCAGCCGGGGGGGGGGGGGGGGCTGGCTAAATAAATTGTGGTTTATCCATTATCAGAATACTACATAATCTTTTAAAAATTGTGTTTTAAAAAATATCCAGCCACAAGGAAATGCGTATGACATACTGTAAACTAAAAGGCAAGGAAATACATGATTCTAACTTAAATGTTTGTGTGCACACATATATGAAAGTGAAATCGTTAGAGTGGTTTTTCATTTTATTTAAACTTTTTTGTCTTATCATAATTTTTATATTTATTTTTATTTTTTGGTGTGCTGGGAATCAAACCCAGGCCTCCTGGCCTTCCCACATCGGGGACCCGAGACTCCTCTTCCTCTCCCAGGACCCATGCCCAGGGCTTCCCCTGGGGGCCACTGTGACACCCTCCCCAGCCTCCTTGGGGGGACTTCCGGTCCCACCTGCTCTGTCTGCAGAGCCTCCTAGCCCAGCTGAGAGTGCCGACGGCCGGGACTGTCTCCGGAGGCAGAGGCGGGTGCTGGACCCAGCCTCCCTCTCTCCAAGGTGCAATAGGCCTCCAGTCAGAAATTTCTAGGCTAAGCGGTTAGCGATGCAGGCAAGCTGGGCTTTGGTTTTGTTTGGCCCAAATCAGTAATTGGCTGTGGTCTTGACCTTTGATGGCCAAGCAGCCAACCTGCATGTCATGTGCATTTATGGCATCTATGAACTGGCCGATCAATGACCTTCGATCCGTCGTCTACCTTGCCAGCACGGAACTTCTGTAATACTTGAGGGACTGCCAAAGAAAGTCAAGCAAAATTCTCGCTTCACTGGTCTCCTAATATCACCCTCCTCGCTCTCTTAATCCTCATTGTGTTCTTTGGGCTGTTTCAAGTTGCACTGTACACTAATTAAATGTACCCGAGCTATCGATTGTTGCAGCAGCATTTAGCGAATTAGGGACTCACCAATGGAGAAACGTGTGAGTGTGCTGTGGCGACACCTGGTGGTAGAAGATGCAATACACAGCGAGCCTCCTAGAGGCAAATTCCGGATTTATCCCTGGAATAGAATTAAATAACACAGAAATTTCGAGAATCATTCCAAAGGGCTAACAACTAGGGGGGTGTCGGTGTGCGCATATGCGTGCATGTGCGTGTGTCTCCTGTGCATTAGGACTAGGAATGATCCAAGACACCATCGGGAAGCTGAGAGCATAGCCCTGCAACTTACGTTCTTCTGATTTGCAAGATATCTAACCACTTTGGACCTCAGCTTTCTCATCTATCAAGTAGTAAGATTTAGTTCCCTAATGAGTAAGTAAAAGGCATTTTGGGAATGCTCTGAATGTGTATTATACTCTACAACATTTAGCTATCTTTGTAATTCGGGTAATTGTTCCAGTCAGTTCCCAGCCGGATTTCAAGGAATTCTGGTGTTGCTCACAGGTGAGGCCACCTTAGTCTGGACTTCGTAACTTACAAGTCCCTCATACTCAGGACTTAGCGGCTCTAAGTTGCAATGTGTCCCATCCCTGCGGATCAAAATAGCAATTTCTGAGACGCTGGCTCTCACCCAAGGACAATTTTGTTCCCAGGGACATTCAGCAATATCTGAAGATATTTTTGGTTGTCACTATTTTTTTTTGGAGACAGGGTCTCGCTATGTAGCCCAAGCTGGCCTTGAACTCTTGGCGATCCTCCTGCCTCAGCCTCCCAAGTGCTGAGATTACTGGTTGTGCCACCACTCCTGGCCAGTTGTCACTATCAAGGGGTAGGGTGGTACCAACATCACTGGGTAGAGGCTGGTGTGCTGCTGACCTTCCTACTGAAGCCGACACAGAGCACTTTCGGGAGAGATGTCATTAAGGACTCTGGCAACCGTGAGGTGTGTATGTCCCCCAGGGACAGGGGCCCAAGGAGGATTCTCAGGGAGGCAGGGTGCGGCCACTGCTCCGGCGGTGTAGCTGGAATGGGATGAGCTGGTTTTAACCATGTGGGAAGAAGTGGGTGAGAGAGCGGGACACGAAGCCCCTGAAGCTGTTTCTAGGAGCCAGGAGTCAGTAGCAGCAGGACAGTCGCTCTGGGACAGGGTGAGTGATGTGGGCTGAGCCAAATGAGGAAGCCCGGGGCCCCACTCTGCTTCCATTTTGTTTTTGAGACTGTTTTCAGTTGGAAGAAGGAGTATGAAGGGCTGCTTGAGCTAGAAGAGGCCGAGTGGGATCTCTGAATTTGGTGGGAGGTCACTGTGTATACAGGAGGTATTGGTGGCACCCTCATGAGGGGACAGACAGCTGCCTCTCAGTGTCTCTGGGGATGGGTTCTCAGACCCTGCATCTGCAGAGGTGCAAGTCCCTTCTGAACAGTGGCCTGGAATCAACGTGTAACCTTACCCATCGCCTGTATACTCGGTCATCTTCAAATAACTTACACTATTTCATGCAACACAAGTGCTATGTGAATCACTGTTACACTCTATTGTTTAGAGATGATCTCAAGGGAAAAAAATCTGTACATGTCCAGTACAGACAACCTCTTTCCCTCAGAGACCGAGTCTGGCTATGTTGCCCAGGCTGGTCTTGAACTAGGTTCAATTAATCCTCCTGCCTCAGCCTCCCAGGTAGCTGGGACTACAGGCATGCACTGTGCTCAGCACATGCAAATGTTTCAGTGTAAATTTTTTTTTTTTTTTTTTTTTTTTTTTTTTGCTATGGGAGATCGAACTCGGGACCTTGCATTTTCGAGGCAGGCACCGGAACCACTGAGCTAAATCCCTGGGACCCAGTGTGAATATTTTAAATCTGCAGTGGGATGAATTCAAGGATGCAGAACTCTCAAATACAGAAGGCTCACTGTATATAAAATCTCCCCAAACAGGGCCAGAAACAACCTTCTGGAAAAAACCTGAAAAGGCCCCAAAACAAAATAACGACCACCATAGCAGCACTGAGCACTCTCAGCACTCAGCTTCTTGTTTTGTTTTGAGACAGGGTCTAGCAATGTAGTTCAGGCTGGCCTTGAACTTCCAGCGATCCTCCTCCAGCCTCCCAAGTGCTGGATGACAAGCGTGCGCCACCACAACCAGTCCTCAGTTTATTGTCTTGAATACTATTTTCCTGCCCAAACCAAGGTGAAATGCGTAGGTTGGCCCCTGTCATATCAAATCTTTCTGGCATATAAAGAGAATTTAGGAGCCCTTTGGAAGACAAATCCATTTGCGAAACATGGGATCACTTATGATTCAATAACTCCAAGGTATTGAAAGGGAGCAAATAACTTTGAATCCATTTTTTGCACTCATACTGCGATTGAGCTGGTAGCCTGGATGTGCCAGGCTGCCAGCGCTCTGCCCCCCACCTGCTGCTCTCTGCCTCCCCAAGTCACATCATCACATTGGGGATGCGATCTTGAAAAACTGCCAAATAGGAAAGAATCAGCCACTTTTCCGGTCTCTCCTGCATGGAGTGTGCCGATGGTAAGGGAAGGGTGGATGAGAGAGGGTGTCTCTATACCAAGACACTGCAGCTAATCACTGAGAAAAAAGAGAGACTTACTCTTCTGCGGTCCCTCGTGAATGGATTTGGGGTCTGAACGGCAGGGTTCGGGTGTGAGAGAGCACAGCTGTAACCCCGCACGCTGGAGGCTGAGGCGGGAGGATGGTGAGTTTAAGGGCAGCCCTGACTACACAGCTAGAGCCTGGGGTGGGGGGTCAGACACTTGTGCTGCCTGATTCAAGATCAGTTTTTTGAGATTATTTACTTGGTGTTGCTAGAGCTATGTAAAATTTTAGATGAACACGTGACTTTTAATAGTACGGGATTCGATCTAAAAGAAGTTAGACGAAGCTAATGTTTCTGACCTAACCAAAGTTTGCAATCAACACAGCCCTCTCCGCCCCGTCTCACCGACAACCCAAAACAAGGGCCTTCCTGGCTCAAGCTGCACTCCCAGCCAGAAAAAATACTAACTCAGAGGCGGTCCCTCATGAGGTTTCGGTAGATTCCCAACACCTGAAAACCCTAAGAGGAACTGTTAAGTCTTTTCCCTAAGCATTTCTGCGTAAGTTTCGGGGTGGACCAAAAGAAGACGGGGGTTTCTCTCTCGTTAAACTCTTTTATAGGGGATCTCAGACCTCGACGACAGGATTTTGGTCAGTTAGGGTGTCGCTCAGGGGACGAGCCCTTGCCTAGCGAGCGCCCGGGCAACGAGCCCTGGTCCCGTGGGAAGGGGCTTTGCCGTGCGGTCAGGTGCGACATTAGCTGGAGCGAGGGGACCACAGAGGCAGGCTTGGGAGCCCCACTCTGCCTGAGCCCGAGTTAGGGGTTCAGGGGTGGTTTTCATGGCACCTGTGCTTTGGCAGCAAATCTGTTGGGAAAAGCTCGGTTCAGATCAAATTTAGACCTACAGTCTTGCCAAAGGGGTTGGACCTAAACTTGAGCGCGCGTTGGCACCCAGCTGCCAGATTGCAGGAAACCCGGGGCCTGCTGCACGGCGGTGAGGGTGTCATCGGTAAGCTCAAGGTGTGGGGAAGGTTACAAGTCAAAGGACTCAGGTTTTCCCGCAGATCCACTGTAAGGATGAGAAAAGGATAGAAGGGAAAGCTTTGATTCTGAGACCTAAAATCATATCGTTTTTTAAAATGGCCAACTACAGACTCAAGTGTTCCATGGATGAAAGAATGATAAGGGAAGCGAGCCCGTGATTGTTTAGTGGCTCCTGCCGGCGTGGGAGTGGGATGTTGTCAGAGGAAATAATACCGGAGATGAAACAGGAAACGTATCTCCTCCCTCGGTGTATGATACACCGAGTTCCTGTTTTCTAGAGATGGAAGAATGAGTCCTAGGTACAACGGAGGTTAAGAGTAGGAAGATATTTACTGATAGAAAAGGTCCTGAGGGGCAGGAGGGGACCCGAGTGGGCAGCCAGGGACTCCACTTTACAGAGGAGAAACTCACATGGGGACAGCGTGGGCCACGGCCGTGATCATCCAGTAAGGTTACAAGTACAGCCACTTAGGGAATGGTGGTCAATCGGGAAACAAGTGACGAAACAAGCGTGGATGGAAAGAGCAAATTCTCCTTGTAAGTGGTGGGTCCAGAGGTCTCTGACCGCCCGCCAGGATAGCTGAAGTCTGTCCAGACTTCATTAGGCCCAGGGCTTGTTCTCTGAGGAAGCATGTAGGTCTGGTCATCTTGCCTTTATCTTGAGGCCTGGTTTTCAGCCGATGTGACTCCGGCTGCCCCTGCGGTGTGTTTCACCTTTGTGCTGACCCTCTCGAGGCCCTGGCCCTATCTGACTGCCTGTAATGTTTCTACCTAACTCAGCTGTCAATCGCGTGGAGTACACGAGGGGTCTTCTTGGTGGCTGGCAAAATTCTATTTCTTTGCAGGTGTGGTGGTGCATACCTGTCACCAGCAATTGGGAGGCTGAGGCAGGAAGATTGCTATGAGTTCAAGGCCAACCTGGACTATATGGCGAGGCCCTGTCTCAAAGAGCCAAAAATCAAAAATAAATTCTATTGCTTGACCTCCTGGTAATGGAAGGCTGTTTCCCTTGCAATGATTTATTTAACTGTATGTTTGATTTTGTGCAATTATCTATATATGTTTTAGTTTCAAACAAAATGGTAAAAAATAACATAAGGATATTAGTTGGCCAAAAACGTGGAATCTTCACACAGCAACACAAATACACAGCGGAGTTTTGTAATGGGTTTTACACTTCATCTTTTGAATACATATTGTAATGAGCAGTACTTGAGTTGGCCACAAGGGTGCGCCATTTGCTGCCCCTGCGTCTGGGCGGTGCGGACAGAGAAAAGGGATTTTCAGCGCTTATGGTGGTGCCGCCTGTGTATGAGTTTAAAGCAAATTATCCAAGGTCCTTAGAGTAGGATCTACATACGTTTGAGGGCCAATGCGGCGGATTTAATTAGGAAAGCTAGGCCCAACCTGTAAATATGATGCACAGACTGAAACTACTGTAGCTTTCTCCTCCTTTAAAGTTGAAGTTTTGGGGCTGAAGATGCAGCTCAGGGGTAGAGCAGTTGCCCAGCGCACGGCGGACCGGGGTTCGAGCCCCGGAACTGCAGAAAGGCTGGGCGAGGGGGATGGGGCAATATATGGCCAAGGGTTGATCATCCAACACTATAAGGATCCTGGAGGGTATTCTCTTGAGAACTTACTATGTTACTTCCTCTATTTGGAGGCATATTTAAAATTTCCAAAAATAAAAATATATTAAATTGTATCCAGAATTTAAAGGTATGCCACTGGTGTAAACCCCACCAAAACCTCATAATTTTTGACTATGGAAAAGAAGACCAGACTATCTTTAAAATTATATTTCTAATTTTATTTTTTTATCTTTTTTTGTTGTTGTTGATGTTGGTGATCAAACCTAGGGCCTTATTCATGCTAAGCATGCGCTGTACCTCCAAAAGACAGAGATGGAGATGAAACTGATCCAGGTGGAGCCGTGGACCTAGACATGGAGACAGACACAGACACAGATGTTAGTGGCACTGGAGGTTGGGCCCAGGGCCTGCACACAGCTCTTCTGAGTTTTTGAGACAGCTGCCCAGGCTGGGCTAGATTCAGATTTTTGATCCTCCTGCCTCAGCCTCCCAAGTGCTGGGATTACAGGCGTGCACCACCACGCCTGCTGTCTGTCTCCCGATCTTAGCGGCACTCCATCTTCATTCTCAGTTTCCGCTAGAAATAATGGCCAAATGGCAGATGGTGCCAGGTTCTAGGTGCTGTCGGCTGAGATGCTGGCTAGGCCGGGCCGGCTCTGGGGACCCTGTGTGAAGCCCGTGGCAGGGCTCCCTGGGGCCACCCGCGGTCTGCGGCTAAGAGCACTGTCCACTCAGGTAAAATTGCATTGCACTTCTTCTTGTCCTTATCCCTTAAGCAATGCAATTATTTACACACATTTACGTAGTGCCGGGTATTGTAAGTAATCTAGACTCAGTTTAAGGTCCTGGCAGGGTTCGTGTGTGCTCCATGCAGACGCCACACCTGTTAGAGAAGGGACCTGAAATCGGAGGGCTTTGCTCTGCGGCGTCCTCCGCACGGCCACCAAGGTCTTCCTCACCCTCACCCTCACAGGGCTCAGGAAGGTCTGCTGGTTTCCAAGCCCGACCCAGACTTGAGCCCGGGAAGGGAGGAAAGGGAGCATTTAAATAAATCCGGAGTTTCGAGGTAGCGCTCTGTGGAACTCGGGCATTTCTAAGAGGAGGTTACTCGTATGTCAGAAACCAAAAGAGCTAAGGGGACAACGGGTCCCCAGAATGAGTTCCGTGATCGAGAGCTCTTTTATACCCATCCAGCAAGTCCAGCTTTTCTCACTGAATCATAAAATATTCACAGAAGCTTAGCGGGCTGGGGGGAAACGGCTTGGCTGAGACGTCTTCACGAAGCCACAGAAAGGCTCTCAGTGGTGCATTGTGTGATGAGGATTTGGGAGGACGCTGGGGACCAAGCCTGGGCCTCCGCATGCGCAGCACCCTCCAGCCCACTACATCCGGGTCCCCATAGTGCTTAGGCCTCGAGGTTGCACTGGGCGGGCGGGGGGACGGGGGTAGAGTGTGTGTGTGAATGGAGGGAGCTGACGCAGCAGGAAAGCCAGTGAGGAAGCGCTGTCCTCCAGGGCGCGTCCCCCATGGTGTCAGGGAAGGGGGGCAGCAGTGAGCAGATGCACATTTGTTTAGTTGGCTTAGATGATGACATGCATAGAGGTTGGGGATGACATTAGGAGGGAAAAAATGATTTTGAAGGCTTCTGCATTAAGCATGAGCATACATGTCGGTTTTTTCTTCTTTTTTTTTTGGTCCTGGGGACGGAACCCAGGACCTTCACACTGAGCTACATCTCCAGCCCATATTTTATTTATTTATTTATTTATTTATTTATTTATTTATTTATTTATTTATTTATTTTTGCAGTACTGGGGCCTGAACCCAAGGCTTTGGGGATGGTAGGCAAGTGCTGTACCACTGAGGAATGTTCCCCAGCCA